GGAAATGAATATCACAAACCAATTTACTGGGCAGGGGTGGATGCTAGTGAGTTTTTTTTAATCCTATGGCTCACATGCAGCTTTCAAAATATAGTTAAAACAATTGTCTACCCTTATGCGCACATAGCTTCCTGTATATTGCTCACCTCAACTAACTCTTGCAGGAGCTTTTTTAGGAAATATTTGCCCTTTGTCGGTTTTTTACGAGTTAATGTGGTGAAAGAATTCCATCTTTTAATTTTTGAAGATTCTTCATCCGAGAGAAAGTCCTTGATTGTTCCTTGAGGATGTTTATATGCTTCTGATCTAGCTTCTGAAATAGCTGGCTAGGAAAACTTGAAAATTAAAAACAAAGAAAGCAGTGAAGGGAGGAACAAAAACATTTTTTTTTTTAAATTTGGGAACGTAATTAGCTATAACTAGATGTATAAGGTATTAATTATGTGGAAAAGCTAGACAGCCAAGTAATCAACTTGTAATCAACTTGCGATCATTGAGATCCTTTTAATTCTATAAAGTCAAAGGAGATTTTACGTTTATTTTAGATAAATATTTTTCTTATTTTTCGGTTTTTCCTACAGAAAAAATTCTTAGATCTTATGAGGCACCAGATGATTACTTTCTTCTTTTATGGGGATAGGTTACATGTGTGCTCACTTTCATCCAAGATAATTAAATTTCCTATCGCGAAGTTTTGTTTTTTTTAATTTCTAAAGGAGAGGAGTTCACTTTGGCTGGTTGGCTAGATTGCATATGCGCTTATTACTTGGGTGAATTAATCATCTTGTGGCTTGTTTGTAAGATTGCATACATGTTTAGCGCAACAGGTTTTTATTGCTTAAAATGCAATGGAAAATAAATGCTGCTTTTTCCGATATCAAATTTTTTTCTTAAATGGACATAAGTTTAGCGAAAAAAAAAAAGAGCTTCAGCATAGAAGAATTTCATCTATAGCTAGACTAGATGTCCAGAGGGAAATTTGATGAGTCCACAATCAAGAGGCAAATTTTAAGCAAGGAGACATCTAGGGTTAGCGGATTTTGTTTTGGAGGAGATGAATGCAGACATCCGGTGGCAAGAAGGCAAAAGTTTTTAACAATGAACAAATAAAATGATACATTACATTTAGTCTCCTTCGGTTAAGAATTCGCTTCATATTGGCCCATGCTTTTTTGAAAACAACAAAATTTGGTCATTAAATTTTATTATGCACTTCAGTGGAGTCTCGTCCTGTTAGGTCTATCGGGATTCTTCACATTTCCAAATTTCCCTTATAAGCAAGCTAGAGTACGTAGTTGACTTGAATTAGCAGAGCTAATCCATCCCCACAGTTCACACCTTATCATCTCCAATGAAAATTTGGATATTTTTTGTGCTTTGCTTCAGGAAAAACAAAAGAAACAATTTTGCGGTTGAACTAAGTTTCGTATTGGACATTTATGTGCTTTGATTATAGTTTCTTCCAAGTTTATCAACATGCTTTTATCTTGGGTTTTTCTCATGTGAGTTTTTCTTTTCCAAAATTTTTAGAAATAATCTTATAGCCTTGTCTAAGGTTCTGCATAATATTTGTGCAACATAATCTAATTTTTGCTTCTTTTTTTAATATGTAATCCTAGGGCTTTCCTAAATAATTTTCCCCCTTTTTTGATGAAGAATTCTATTGGCTCGGGCGCTCGGCATTACTTTTGTACAGTGTTTTATATGCTTTATGTGTTTTTTGATTTTTGTTAAGGTGAGGAATAATGGATGTGATGAACTAATTAATTGTTATAAAACATTTTTTGCTATATGGCTTATTTGATTATTTTCAATTGCCTTTCGATTCATCTTTGTTTGACCATCCACCTCATTGAGTTCCTCTTCTACTTCCCCAACATGGGTGCATCCTCCTCAAACTTTATTGCCATCACACATGCCTTTGAGTTCTATGAGTGCCATGCAGTTAGTATATTTGTCCACAACTACATTGTTATATTATCCCTCCCTACATTGCAACAATACTTTGCCATCGTCAAAGACTTTTGCACCACCCTCATAATCAACCTCATCCACAGGCATCGAACCAT